CTCCCTACCAGTCTTTGATACTCTCCAGCATCTTCTAGTATTGGATCTTCATGAGTTGCATCTTTGTTGAATGCTCTATCAAACTCTATTGAAGTAAGTTTTTGATTACATTCAAGTGGAGTTCCAGCTGTTTTAGCTCCTCCTAGGCAAAGCTCAGAAATCATCTCCAAGGAATACTTTCTTTGATACATATGGATACCCTTGCTTGATCTGGCAAGTTCAATGCCTAAGAAGAACTTCAATTCACCTAGGTCTTTCATTTTGAACTTTTTCTGAAGATCTCCCCTGGTTTTTACCAACACATCATTGTTATTTCCTGTGATGATTAGATCATCTACATATATAAGAATCACAACTATGTCACTTCCTTGATGTTGTGTGAAAAGTGAGTAGTCAAAATGACTCTGGACAAAGCCAAGTTGCTGCAGATCTTTAGTAAGCTTGAGATTCCACTGTCTTGGTGCTTGTTCCAGGCCATACAGTGATTTCTGGAGTTTGCAGACTTGATTAGTCTCCCCTAGTCCACCAAACCCTCTAGAATAGTCATATAAACCTCCTCCAAAAGATCTCCTTCCAAGAAAGCATTGTGAATATCCATTTGATAGATGAACCAATGTCTTGAGGTTGCCACAGCTATCACTGATCTAATAGTAACCATTTTGGCAATTGGTGAAAAAGTTTCTTTGTAGTCCAAACCAGCTTGTTGACTGTAACCCTTGGCTACTAGTCGTGCCTTGTACCTTTTCACTTCTCCTGATGACTTATACTTGACTTTGAACACCCATTTGCACCCAATAACTGCTTTACCTTTAGGGATATCAACAATTGTCCAAGTGTTGTTCTCTTCTAGTGCTGCAATCTCTAGTTTCATAGCTTCAATTCACTTTGGATCTGTAGTTGCTTCCGTATAACTAGTAGGCTCTACAATGGATGAGTAGGAGTTTAAGGTAGTCTTATATGGTGAGGCTAGATGATCATAGAATATGTAGGAAGAGAGAGGATAGACACAGTTGGATTTTTTTTGTGGTGATAAAGTCTTGCATCCACAGAGGTTGCTTGACAGTTCTAGTGGATTTTCTAAGTGGTTCAAACTGAGAAAAAGGTTCAGTAGAATGAGTTGAATTGGTGGTAAGTTCTTCTAGGATGGTATTGTTAGGTGAAGGGGTTATATTGATAGAAGGTGGTGAAGTCAAGTGATTTTCTGTGATCAATTCCTCTTGTATGGTTTGGGAGGTTGTTGTGCTATTGGGAGTGGTATTGAGACTATTCCTTGAAGTGTCAGTATCAGGAATAGGCTCTAGCACTGGAAATAAGGGTAGAGTAGAAGGAGTAAAGTATTTAAAAGGAAACAGATCTTCTCTGAACACCACATTTCTGCTTACAAAGAATGATATACCATGTAGATGGTAGATCATAAAGTTTGTATCTTTTTTGAGTAGAGGAATACCCATTAAGGCAGCAGGAATGGCTCTAGGTGACATCTTATCAGTGATATTGGGGTTTGATGCATAGGCAAGACAACCAAAGGTTTTTAAATGATCAAGGTTAGGAGGGTGTGAGTGCAACATTTGAAAAAAAGATTTATATTGTAGGGTGGCAGAAGGTAACATGTTAAGCAGATAAACAATAGTATCAACACACTCTCCCCAAAACTTCAAAGGCACAGCTCCTTGAAACCTTAAGGATCTGGGTACATTTAGAATAGATATGTGTTTCCTCTCTACTACACCATTTTGTTGAGTTGTATAAACACAATAGCTTTGGTGCAAAATGCCATTTTCTTTGATCAACTCATCAAACTGAGAATTAAAAAACTCACATCCATTGTCTGTTCTTGATGTTTGAACATTAGAATTGAACATATTCTTCATTAAAGCTAAAAACTGCTTCACGGTGACAAGAGTTTCAGCTTTATTGTTCAACAAAAAAATTCAAGTATACATAGAAAAATCATCCACCAATGTTAGAAAATATCTCTTCCCATCATGTGTAGGTAATCTATAAGGACCCCATACATCCCACGCACAAGCTGGAAAGGCTTATTTGAACTAGTAGTGCTAATAAGAAATGAAAGTTTAGTCTGTTTCCCTAGTGGACATACAGGACAGTGATGATTTTTGTCTAGTTTGCAATGTTTCAAAAACTCTATTTTTCTAAGCATATCTAAAGGAGCATGGCCTAGTCTATTATGCCATACAGACAGTGGTACATTAGTAGACACAGAGTAGAACTTTTCTTTACTGTCATACTCTTGTAGTTGTGGTTGAGTAAGTGGTGCTGTAGGAGTTGGAGATGACTTCAAATAGTACAATCCACATCTTCTCTACCAATCCCCCTCACCTGCCCACTGAAGAGGTCCTGGAATAGGCAAAAATCAGGAAAGAATGCCATACAATACTTCAGTTCCTTTGTCAACTTTGATACAGACAAAAGGTTAAACTTGAAGTCAGGAATGTGTAACACATTTTGTATATCCTTATTTCTGAGTATACTAGATGTTCCTGTATTTGATATTGACACCACATTCCCATTTGGAAGATGCACATTTCCACCTTTCAAACTAGAGTCCTTGTCTAATTTAGTCAACAACTTGGAATTTTCTACCATATGGTTAGTAACTCTAGTATCAATTATCCACATATCATCGACTATACTGGATAGGAAAGCAAATATACCTGCTGCTGCTGGTTGAGCAGAGCTTATTGCTTCTTCATTTACTTTACCAAGCATATGTAGGATTTATTGATACTGTTCTGGAGTAAAATATGGTGCTAAGGGAGGTGAAGTTGTTGGATGAGGCTGAGGTTGACTCCTCTCCCCATAGTTTCCTCCACTGTTATTACCTGCAAAGTTAGCTACTAAAAATACATTATGACTTCTATTAGTAGGCATTAGTGTTCCTGAATCACCAGTGTTTCCTGCAAAATTAGTTATAGGGAATGCATTTCCTTTCTTCTTATGCTTAAAATTAGCAGGGTAACCAACTAATTTGAAATAATTCTCTCTGGTATGCCCCTTGTAGTTGTAGTAGTCACCAACTAGGTTAAAATTCTTCTTTGGCCTTTGTTGAAAACCACCTCTAGCAGACACAAAAGCAGTGAGGTCAGAATTCTCTATAGGAACACTTGTGTGTGCGATTGCCCTCTCGCTTTCCCTTTCCATCATCATAGAGTAGGCTTGGTTAACAGAGAGAGCTGGTATCATCATGAGCAATTGGCTTCTAGCTTGCTCATGAGACTCATTTAGCCCCATAAGGAACTATAGGAGTTTCAATCTTTCCATAAACACAATAAATTCACGCGATTTCTCACAGTCACATCCAGGAATTGGGGCTAGACTATCAAACTCTGCTCACAACTGTCTCAATTTTGAGAAATAAGAAGAGATCGAGCTAGTACCTTGATTAATTGTGGCAATGTTCTTATGGATCTGGAAAATTCTAGAAAGATCAGCTTTATCAAACCTCTCTTTTAGGTCATTCCACACAACACTCGCATTTGAGGAGTAAAAAATTCCACTAAGCAATTCAGGCGATACACAATTCATTATCCATGACAGCACTATGGCGTTACATCTGTCCCATAGATGTACCAGATTTGGACCAAACTTTCCTCGCCTACAGGTAACGTCGATGAACCCTAACTTGTTCCGACCTAAAATAGCAATTCTCATTGTCTGACTCCACACCGAGTAGTTTTCTAGACCTCGCAGTTGCAATGAAATCAGGATTGCACCGGAATTGTCATTTGAGTTCAAAAACAGGGGATGATTGTGACTTAGTTTCCCAGGAGCTTCATTATCAACTTCCGCCATTGTTGAGCTTCAACTATAGAGGCAGAGCTTGTGTAATTGAAGCAATTGAGCTTGAATTCAGTAGTCACACCGATTTGCGATCTAGATTCGAGCAGTAGGCTCTGATACTATTTCAACTTTATCAAAGTAAAGAGAGATTGAAGAGAGAATATGAACAGAAGAAGACTTGGAGAGAAAACTAACGGATTCTCATTTCTTCTGCAAACAGTAGCACTGTACAAAGTGAAATATATATACAATATCTTTAACTAACACCTCTAACTAACTTGCTTTACATAAATAGCCATAGCCACTTCATTAACTAACTAGTCAACTATCACATATACAGATACAATCAGCTTACACTCCCAACAATTATCTTTTAAAATTTTGGTAAGCTAATTAAAAAATTTAATAGCATTAATCATTAGAGATAATTGATTAAATTATATTTATTTTTCTTAAATAAGTAATTAATGATTATAAGATCTTTTCGAACAATAAAAAGGGAAAAATACAAAATTAACCAGTTGGTCAANTATATATAGGATATTATTATCGGGAGCAGCTGAAAGTTATATATTTTTCTAATAAAATAGAATTTAATAATAAATACAATCTTCTTTATTTTGAATTTATGCAAAAATATTTTCTTATTAATCCGATCCAGAAAGAATATCGGCTTTCTAGAATTAGTTTAACTTGAATTCCTCATTTTATCCTTAACTACAAGCTTTACAGCCATACAAATGTTATGTCATGTTTAAGATTTTAAATTTTTAAATTTTTATAGTCATAAAAATGTTAGTATGACGTATTTAAAATTATAAATTTTAAAAGTATTCTCTACTTTCTTAAACTCATCTTCAAACAAATCATTCCATATAGTCGAAATAGAGATAAGTACTCCATCCTTTTACTTTATGTGGCAATTTTTTTTAGCCCGTCCTAAAAAAAAATGATAGCTTTTTAGTTTTAAAAATAATTTAACTTTACACTTCTTATTTATCTTATTGAGATAATTTATAATCACACAAATATCTACAACTCGTTTAAACTTGTTTTTCTTCTTAAATTAGAACTAAATTCTTATAATAAAATGGTAAATAAAAAAGATGAGAGGATAAAAAATTACAAGTGGCGCGTGGTGGAGAAAGTAGGTCCCATTTGTAAGAAGGCAGCGCACTGAGATTGGACTTTGTCAGCGAGAGGACTAACTTTTGCAGACAAAAATATCCACAAAACATACGCACAAAGATACGGAGGTCTCCGACAATCTTCTCCCACTGCCCAACGTTCAGTAGATTTTATTCTACGCTTCGTATTTTGAGTTTGGTCTTCTTCTGATATTCGATTTTCTGTCTCAAGTCAAGGCAAGAAATTCACAGACCAATCACCTGTTTACCTGCTAGTAAGAACTAATTTCTTCCACCTTTATGTTTTGTGCTTCAAATAATTCTTGCTTCATTTGTGATTATGAGCTGAATTTCATTTGAGTAATTAATTTTGTTCTGGTCGATTTGGGTATGTTGCTATGTTTTCCTCCCATTTCCCCCTTTTCTCAGTTTGGCATGCGTGTAGCTTAGTTCCAATTTCTTTTGTTTAATTTTTGTTTTAAGTTCGAATAATGGCGTAAACTCACTGGTTGGCTTGATTATTGTTGCTGATTGTTATGCTCTTGGTTCTATCTATTTTGATTTCAGACTATTTTCTCTACTAAGTTGTCCTACATTTAAAATTTTAGTTATGGAGGCTCTTGAGGGTTCTTTTGTTATGTTAGACGTTACAGATTGATTTTTTACGAGGGTGGTGTCGGGGGGTCAACGTGCGCACTGATAAAGAAATGGGCTTTTGGCCTTACTCTACCCTTAAAATTAGTTCATGAGGTGAAAATTAGTTCATGAGGTGAAAATTAGTTCATGAGGTGAGGATTGTCCTAGACTAAGAAACCTATATCCCGCTGATATGGCTCTACATCTGGAACGTGGACAATATAAGATGCGGTCCAACATTGGGTAAACAATAAATTGAGATGAGTCTGGCTTTGATATCATGAAGAGTTTGAAACGGGTACCTGCTACGTCCCACCAGTATAGGTACGGAGTAACTCTGTCCATTAAAACTTAGGCAAAATGGAAGAAATCAACTAGTTTTGAACCTGAGATCTCATGGTTCTCCTCACTAATCACTAGGCTAGACCCTTGGGTACGTGTTAGACGTTAAAGATTGCATCTTTTTACTTCTTTCCGATGAGAGTGATACCTGTTTGGAATTCTGCTTCTACCACGGATGATCTCGTTTCAGCATTATAATTCTCCAAGTCCCTTAGCCACTCGCATATCCATTTGAATTAGTAAATTCTGAATTGTGTTTTCATGTAACCTTATCTTGAGAATGTTCCCTAGTAGGGGTACTGCGCGGACAAGTTAGAGGTTTCACCTTGGATACAATTGCTACTTCTTGTAAGATGGCAAGCAGCCGTTCTTGTCAAGGGCAAAAAGTGCACAAAAGCACCAAGGTCTTTGGGGGTTTTAAATAGAACATGCAACTAACACGAGTTTTGCAGTAAAGAAATGTGCTAATGAAGAAACAAAAAGGTACAGATAATGCAAGAGAAACAACAATAAACACAAACAATGGATAAGTGAAATACATGAATTAAAAATCGTGTAAATCAAGTTTAAAACCCACTTAAATTTATGATCCGATGCTAAGATGCAATTTTATGTCTCTAATTCCTATTCCTAATCATAGCTTCATTCATGAAATTTTCTTATCAATTAATCACTCTGCTGACTATTTTGAAGTTTAATGTTGCCCTCTTCAAGATTGAGTCATGGGCGATGAGACGCATGTTTTGATGCGCCACTTAAGCAAAGGCAAAGGGCTTAGTTTGTGTTGCACCTAGTTTCAGGGTTTATATGCATCAACGGAGCCTTTAACAACATTGAATTCCAAAATCTTTTGAATCTCGTGATTACATGCTCACACTGGAAAGCAGAACTACAAATTGACTTGGCATTCCTTGATACCAAACATATCTTTTGATTTCAGGTTAATATTTGTGGTCAAATTGATGGATTCCCCACAGTCCATTGTTTCACCATTCAAGGGTTCCTCCACTTTTGTTGAGCCCGAGAAGCAGAGCAGTGAGTTATTCATAAAGAACCGTGGTGGCCTATCCCAGGGAGTTTCTGCTCATAGAGAGGAGGCTGCAGTCTGCAACTTGGAGGACTTCATTGGAGTTCTAGATGTGTATGTACACCAGGCCAGAGACATCCATAACATCTGCATTTACCATGAGCAAGACGTTTATGCAAAACTTTGTCTTACCAGTGATCCTGAAAATGCAGTCTCCACGCAAATTATTAATGGTGGAGGGCAAAGTCCAGTATTCAATGAAAATCTAAGGCTCAAAGTCCGTACAATAGAATGCTCCGTGAAATGTGAGATATGGATGATGAGCAGGGTGAGGAATTATTTGGAAGACCAACTGCTAGGCTTTGCACTGGTCCCGCTAACTGAAGTCCTTGTTAAAAATGGAAAGCTAGAAAAAGAGTTTACTCTTTCATCAACTGATCTCTTCCACTCTCCAGCAGGATATGTGCAGTTGTCCTTTTCTTATAGTGGAACTTCACCTGAAGTGATTGTGATTCCTGCATTGCCTGAATCTGTTGGCACTCGTGCATCTCTGCTGGATGCTAAAGCAACTGAGTCGCTTCCTAATGAATTTGAAAAAATCGAATTCCCTGATCCCAAGATAGTAAATGAAAATCATCTTATGGTCTCTGAGTACTTTGGTATACCATGCACTGATCTTGACTCTCAAAGCTCAGATAGCTTGGTCTCTTCTGATACAGCAAATCATCTCAGTCCAGAAGTAGAAGTTCGTGTTGAGGAAAATTTTCCAACAGGAATTACTAATCCAAACCAATATCCTAAGCGTGATTCCCCTCCAAGCAGTGTATCAACCATTGAGTCGCCGTCAGTCTTGCATCCTGCAAGCTCTCAGTCTTCAGAGCCCTCGGGAGAATCAAAATCTCCAGTTCAAGAATATACTTCCGAATGCGCCACCGTGAAAAGAGTAAATTGTGGTGATGCTGAGAGCAACTCGTCAGAAATCAAGCCTGGTAGCGGATTTCCAAAGCCAGTAGTAGACATTGAGGCAGAGCAAAAGGTTGTGCAACAGGAGATAGTGGACATGTACATGAAAAGCATGCAGCAATTTACTGATTCATTGGCAAAAATGAAGCTTCCGTTGGATATTGGAAATGAACCGACCAGTTCTGGCAGTTCGAGTTCAGATCAGAAATTAGAAACACCCAAGAGCACTGGCTCTCGAGTGTTTTATGGTAGCAGAGCTTTCTTCTGAGATCTTGTGACGATGATTACACTACTCAAATGACCTCTAGAGTTTAGGAAACAAGACTGCAGGTATTAGTGACACTGAGCATTCTGTGTATTGTGGTATTCAGTCATTTTATAAGGGGAACTAGAATGATGAAAACTGCTTGACTTGGCTCTGTAAAAGCATTATTCTATTTCTGTTGTTTCTAGCTAATTAAATCTGTGCTTAATTTCTCTTCATAATTTGTCCTTTAATGATTTGATTATCTACTGTGCGCATCAGTCGCCTATTATATTGGAAAAGTTTGCCTAATTAAGCCGAGGTTTCTGATCAATGGCCGATGCATCTCCAGTGTGGTAGATATGGAGTCTAGCAGCATAAATATGTTGTGAAAATGAAATCTCCTTAAATATTTACTGAATTAAGTTATTAAAACAAGTTGAACAACTCTCAGAGCAACTTCGGGCACTAGTATTTTTGAGCTCATCTTCGTCAAAAGCTGTCGAATACACTGGCATTTGCAACTTCAACCTCGTCTTTCATTCATATTCATATGCATATATTTGAATTAAAAAGTTATATCTAATTGCAAAACAAGGAAACCAATAGGCAGTTGTTCTGATCAAATGATATTAAAAAATCTTAGCAAAACCAAAACGTGTGTTAATTTCAAGGGAAATGCTTTGAGAAAAGCACAAAAACATACAAAATGTAAGAAACCATCATCTCATCTGTAGAAATCTTCACAAGTCAAAACACCATTACTAAGAAGTGTTATAATGAAAACAGTATCTATTTCATCTGCAACATAGTTACTTAAAAATGAAGCCTCAAACATAGAGCGCTTGTACAATCTGCAATGAGTACTGAATCAGAAAATTCAGCAGTTATTTAATAGTAGATCCCAGGTTCGTATCCCCTATTGTTTCACAGTAGTAAATCAAAAGGGATGTTGAATACAATCTGAGAGACAAACAAACCCCAGAAAAAAGGGGAACTAAGAGAACAGACATCAGCAGCTTTGCCAGTCACTACAGCGGACAAAAAGTTAAAAAGAAAAAAAAGAATATAAAAATTATAACTCTACCTCTCAACGTAGTTCCAATGGTATCCGCTTTGTTGTGGATGCACAATACATCAACTGCAATGGATGGTGTCAAGTATAATCTGATATACATATACGAGCCTAAATTACTTTCGAAAAATTGAAACCTCAAACCATCACAAAATCCCTTTAAAAACTGCTCTCTGAATATGTATTACTTTATCGGACAGGCCCCTCGTTAGCTCTATATCATCAGCTATAGCTGAAATGCATATTTTTGGATAAATGTATTAAAATTCACAGCCCACTTGCTTTTCTCAAGGCACTTTTAAGAATCTTCAGATATACAAATAAAGAAATCTCCTATGCCGCAATTCCTGGAAACATTCAAGAAGAAAATGTTAAGCAAGTCTCAATATCTGAACAATTTCCCACTAAGTAACATATAGCATTGATTCAAGAGAACAGGTAATCTCGGAGAAAGATAATGCACGAAAGGTTATTCTGCATTTACCCAATAGCAAGTTTGACGGAAGACATGGAAGTAAAACAATACATTTTTGTATATGACAAAATTTCAGTGAATGACAACTGCATCCATGAGCAAAACAGGTTTGTCTATTCCCCACATTTGAATAAGGGCATTAATTGCTATTAAATTTGTTACCAGGAGCCTATAACTTATATCTTCAGAGTTCTTTCTTCTGCCCATAAGACGTGATTGTTATTTTCTTAAAGCAAACACAAAGTAATGTTCCAAAACATTTTCAGTCCTTTTTATATATCCACTAAAGATTCATCAATAAGGGCCAAAAAGCCAGAGCTCGTACAAGAGATAATCCTCCTTCAGTCCCTAACGATAGACCTCCTGTAGCTCTCCAAGACCATAGGGAAGGTAGGAAATAAAAATTTTGAACCGTTTTTTCTAGGGAAGTAGGGGCAAGGAGGAGAAGCCCCAAATACTCAGCCTCTCCTTGGGCACTCTTAGCTCGCTCCAGTCACTAGTCTTTATTTTCCCTTCACTTTTTAGTATGCAACTGATTTCAATTACAAAAGAAACAAAATTAAAAAAGGAAAAGCCACAATCCTAACTCCATAGGCCTCAAGCAGCGGATGGGCAAGGATATGAAGGACCTAATTCATCTCCCATCCGACCACCATTCCTATTCTCTACGTACTATCTCATGCTAAATCAAGGAACTTATAGGGATGAATATGTAATTGGGGCATGTTATCTGGAAACCAAAGTCGTGCTGCAAAGTCATATTACAAACATAATTTGAAAATTTTAATGTTCAATACCGTATGACGTTAAAACAATAGGACAGCTCTTTTAGAAAGTTGCTGATCAAACCTTGTAAGGTACATGATTAGCTCCTGCACTAGTCTAATTGTTAGAAGGTAAAATAATCCATATACTTACCCCATTTGCCATTCAGAACCCCAATTCGAATACTACTGGGGCTTATGCAGATCCCTAGTTCCCTCACCCTCATTACCATAACCACAAGATTTTACCATCTTACGCGAGCTCCTGAACTATTTCTGCTTTACTGAAGTGATTGAACCTATGTTGCTTGAACTCTCCAAGATGCTGACGCACCCATGTCGGATCCTCCAAAAGTAGTATGTCGGATCCTCCAAAAGTACAGTTTGGACATTTTCGGAGAGTCAGAGCAACATAGGATTGAACTATGCTTATGTAAATTGAAGAACTGTTTTAAGTAAAGTAACGGCTACAAGCTTCACCATTGTAATCTTAAACTTAAGAGCACAAATTCATTTTTGTCTTTGGTTAAGTTCATTTTTAGGCAAATACTTCAGACTTTGAAAAAGAATACAAATGCAAGATTGCCAAGGACCTAAAGGAAAAGCCGCATGGCCACTGTTCTGCAAAAATTTCAGCTAAAGATGTTGAACAGTGTGTCCTATTTTATCTAGGAGAAAAAGGTCAGCAAAGGTATCCTCACGTTTTTTCTAATAAGGTATCTTCAACTTCATATGAGGCATACCGGATGGTGTTTCAACCACTTCCAATTTTCTGGACAAAGAAGACTATTTCACCCCATTATAAGGTAATTCAAATGAGCATACCAAATCAATGTAACTAACAGAAAAGTAGGGGTGTGGAACAAAACCATTATTACGTCTTGAATCCTTTTAACATATCTCACTCCAAATCTTCCCGTCAAAACTACGCTTATGACGTTAACATAGTTTATAGATTGTTAGCTTAAATTTGAACTTAGAACAACTACTAACTCAAAGGAGCTCAAATCCAGTTGAGCCATTTTTGTGAATATTTTAATGATCTTTCAAGTTAGAGTCTACTAATCAAAAAGGTGGCCTTGCAAGCCAAAAACCAAGTTCCTATAAAAAGAAGCATACTAAATCAAGAGGGGGGAAAGCCAGCTATTATCTAATTGACCAGCATCGGTAATAAGACAAATATATGTCAAGAATCAAGAGAAATACATCAAAAGGGAAGGCACAATACGAAGCCTAGGTTAGAATGACAGAAGAAAATTATCAAAATCATACAGGGTATGCAATTGGAGGAGTATTCGTACCTCTATTTGATTGTCTATTGGCAATACTATAATTTCCAATATAATTCTCAGAGTCTTTAGCTGAAACATTTGTCGGATTTTCAAGTCCATATCCAAATGAACTAGAACCATCCGCACCAGAAGACACAGCTTGCCAAGTCGGATCACCATATATTGAGCCATAAGGCCCCTCATAAGCACCACTAGATGCAGCAAAACCTGCTGCATTGCTTCTTCCAAGTCCTCCAGATCCAAGGCCGTAACTGTTTCCCCCACTCCTGAACCCAAAATTCTGACCAGTAGAATTACCAACTGGAGCAGAAGAGCCCCAATTGGCACCATTATTCCCAAAGACCCCATAAATACCAGTTCCAGAACCTAAAAAGGAACCGGAGATACCAGGACTTGGAGAACGGTTAAGACCGCTGTTTCCCCATACATTCCTGGTTGGGGAGCTAAGCAAAGAATCACCTCTACTGCTCCCTGTGCTATATCCGATGGGTGTAGCGTATCTGCTTGATTTGCCGCTGAAATATGGGCTCAGACCCCGCCCATAACCAAGATTATTATTGTTAAAGTTGGAAGCTCCTGCAAATGTGGGGCTCAAAGCTGGGTCCAAATTGACACCCGTTCCATAAGCAGGAGTAGAAAACTGAGACAAACTTGTACGTGCACTGGCAACTGGATTGAACCTACCATCCATCCTGACCCCATATCCTCCAATCGAACCTAGACTATACCCTTGAGCATAGTTGTTGAGAAAGCTATTTGCTCTACCAAGTCCGTAGTTGTATCCGTTGAAAGGGCTCCGGTTGGGCCCTGGAGACATCTCTTTCGGAACGGCGCGCTTCACCTCAATCATTTTACCATTTAGGTCATGAAAGGTCTTATACAATGCCCTATCCACTGCATCCTCCGAATCATAAGTTATAAAACCAAAGCCTCTTGGCCTCTGAGTGTTGTGGTCATACATCACTACAACATCTGTAATTGTACCAAACTGATCAAAGTATTGCTTGAAGTCACTCTCAGTAACAGTAGATGCTAAACCTCCAACGAATATCTTTTTAGTGCGTCCAGAACCCGGAGATCCTTGAATGCTGCTGTTGTTTCTATTTACCGTCTGTTGGTCATCCCTAGGAACAGCCTTCTTTGCCTCAACCTGAAAATTGGATGCCAACGAAGAATTTGAAGAAACAGAGATGATAACTCACTTGATTCTAACTAGCACAATCCAGCATGAATTAATCTTCAACTGAAATTTTTCAGAAACATTTGGGGTAATACCATCAGTTATATGTACTAAATTTTGAACAGCAAACTTGCTGAGCTTGTCACAGAAGACTTTACAATTCTCACAGTCCATGTTACAAAAAGAATAACACAATGGAAGCAAAAAATTCGTATAGGCGATACCAACAAGTTGAGATTGGGGTTTAGTCATGATATTACTCTTAAGTAAAGCCAAGTGTTAGATAGGATTCCTTTATAGTCTGTTTAAAGATTAGTACGTCAGTAGAAAATGTAGAGAACTTCTAGCATTAAGGAAGCTCAAATTATAGAATATTGGAATGAAGCAAGTCCAAATGGAGTGAAATAGATAGCGAGAATTCATACAGCCCCAACCCAACTAACTTGGCGTTGAGGC